GGGAGCATTGGCATCAAGGTTGCATTCTCTCTCCTGTCGGCATCCAGACTGGGGACTCAGTGGTTCCCAGGAGAGAGATCTCTGCCAGATCTTTCCAGACCTCCCCTCTGGGCTCAGAGTCTCAAGTCTCATTCCTTTTGGGTTCTGGGTCATTCCCTACCCCATAATTAAACTGCTCTCTTGAAGCACCCCAAAGATGCCACCTAGGCCAGGGAAGAGTGAATTTTCCTAGATAGAATTTATACTAAATAATAATGGGCAGCCCTGGCCGGTATTCTTAGTGGTTAGAGCACTGGCCCGCTAACCAAAGGGTGGTGGGTTCAATTCTCTGTCAAGGGCACGACCCGGGTTGCAGGTTCAATCCCTGGCCCTGGTGAGGGTGTGTGCGGGAGGCAACCAATCGATGTGTCTCTCTCACATCGATGTTTTTCTCTCTCTCCCCCTTCCTCCCTCCCTTTCACTCTCTCAGAAAAGCAATGGAAAAATATCCTGGGGTGAGGGTTAACACACAAAAAAGAAAAGAAGAACATGTATCCAGGAATTGTGGGAGGGAGACCAACAATATGAAGAGCACTTGGTGAGAGCTCAGTATACCCCGATCAGCGGTGACCACGAGGAAGAGGTTCAGGATGGCAGGGCAGGCCCTCCCCTGCACGCCCCACGCCCAGGGAGCACCTTACCCGGAGACCGTTGCTCAAGGCCACAGCTGCCCGCGAGCAGAAGTGATTCCAGCTCAGATTCAGTGACAGAAGCCCTATGTTGGAGGCTGGAGAAGGGGGGAGTCAACTTAGCATCTTCTGCACCCTGGGGACCCACTCTCGGGGTTGGCAGACATCCACACATAAGGCTCGCTCAGTGCTCATGAAAAGTAAAACGCTGAGGTAACATTTTTTCTAGTTATTCCTTTAAACCCAAAATCGTATGGTGATTTCCACTGCGGGCAACGATGAAGTAAAATAGTCATATTCATGTATTGCAGGCGGAAAGCGAATTAATATTATCTATTTGGCAAATATCATCTGGTCACAAGTGTTTTCCTATTACAATGTGGATACCCCATCACACAGCAGAATCACCTCTGAGACTTCCTAAGGAGACAGGATATGAGAAGAGCTACATGCTTGTAGCTGTTTGCCATGGCATCACCTATAAAAGTAAGGCTCGTGACTCACAGGGAGCGGGCAAAGTACACATATACCCATCTGGTGGAATGTTCTGCCAACATTAAGGCAGCCGGAGATAGCCCGGGGCAGAGGTTGATTTACACAGGGAGGGTGCGATGGGTGTGGCGCATCCTGTCAGGTGATGTGCACTTGGGGACCTGCAGGAGTGGTGGCTCCGGAATTTCTATCCTGTTCAGCCTTAGGGACACAATCTGTTGGAAGTAGTGAGGCATCAGGCTTGTCCAGATGCCAGGTTTGCATAGAAATTGCACTTTTTTTTTTTCTTTTTTTTTAACTGAAAGATGCTTTTGCTTACATGCCGCATAGGCTTGGAGAAGCATCCTATTTAAGCACATTATCACTGTTACTTTTATTTGGGGAGGGCAGCTATGCTGAGGACACCTGATAGTTTTTAAATGGACTGTGGACTGATCATGTCTCTCTTGGGTCAACCAGCAGCATGTATTTTCAGTAAAGTGCACAACACTTTATATTATTTGGAGAACAAGCTTTCTCCCCTCTCTCTCTCTCCTTCTGTTTACCCTGTCCCTTTCCTCTGTCAATTCCCTCCCTTGCGTGCCTGCCTCTCTTAAATGGCCACAAGATTTAAACGTTAGTTCTGTTCTTACCACTCTCGCTGTGTGACCTTGGGCAGGTTACTTACCCTTCCCTGACCTCTGTTTTCTATTGGTAAATGGAGATGTTAACCCGTGTGCGAGGGTTGTTGTGAGGATTGATGTAAAATGCCTAGTGTATGCTTGTCACGTGGTAATCACCTAATAGTTGGTAGCTTTAGTAATAATGATTTTGAAAGCTGCACATACAGTATGATGGTTACTATTTAAAACAGAATGTTGTCTCACTTATTTTGTTTTAAAAATTAAAAGTTTAAAAATGTTTGAAAATAAGTTTTCAAATGGAGACTTGGACTGCCCAACAATTCTTTTACACTTTATTCCTCCCTAAGTGCTAGTTCATACCTTCTCCCCCTCCTCTAATCTGTGGGCCTGTAGCCCACTCTCAGCGGGAGATCTCACCTCATATTCAGGGGGCAGTGAGATGGGAGAGCTCCCCCCACATCACCGGCCTACACGCACCTGCACCCCCTCTTGGCTCCTCCCTGTTTCAGTGAATGAAAGGTCCCTGTGCCCTCTGAGGCGACCCCTCCATTTTTGTTCCAGATGCCACTGCCTCCAGCCTTTTCAAGGACATCGCTCCTATAACTATCTCCTCTTTCTGCACCATCAGTTTCCTCTTCTTTCCCTCTCTCGGCATCTTCCGTCCTTAAAAACCTTCCTGTCCTCCCTGTCACCCTGCCTTCCTCTTCCAGCCGTGTCTCGGCCGAGCTTCTGGAGTTGCCCATGTTGCCGGTTCCACTTCTCTGCGTCCCATTTTCACTCAGGCCACTCAGTCCGCGGCAGCCGGATTTCCATACATGCTCGCCCACGTCACTAACACAGAACTTGTCAAGGTTGCCAGGTATCTTCCATGTCACCAAGTGCTGCGGTCACTTTTCTGTACTCATCTGATTTGGCTTCTAAGCAGCACTTGACCCAGCTGACCGCTTTCCCTTTCTTGAAATTCTCCCCGCTGGCTCGTGAAATCCTCACCTTCCCCCGTTCGCCCCACCACTCCCTCTGAGGATCTTCCTCCCCCTCTGCGCCACCTAAAAATGTTGGCGTGACCTGGGAATCAGTACCACCCAACTGCTCAACTCCGTGTACACTCCTTGCCGGGAAGGTTTCACCTTGCCCCATGGTTTTAAGTACATCTATGTGCTGTTGACGACCAAATGTATTTGTCCAGTCCTGACCGAGCTCTAAACTCATATAGCAAACTGCCTACCTGACATCCCCAAGGATGTGTTGAACTGGCATCGCCAACATCCCATGGCCCACATGGAAATCTTGCCTCCTAACTCTTGCCTCTCTATACCTGTGGCTCCCTGAGTTTTCCCCGTCTAACTCAACGACACCGCCATGCAACCAGTACCTGAAGCGAAAAGCTATGAGTCTTTCTCTTTCCTTCATTCTTCGAGTCAACAAGCTCTTTTGGCTTTACTTCCAAGATACACTCTGCTCCATCACCATCCACTCCCGTGGCCCAACCTATTATCCTGTCTTGCCTAGGTGGCCACATGGGCCTCCTAATCTGCCTCCCTCCTTCCATTCTTGTTCTACTCAGTTGCATTCTTCATACAGAAGTTCTAAAACTACAAATCAAACCGTTCACGTCATCCCCCATGTTCACGTCCTTCAACAACTTCTCGCCACATGTAGAATAAAATCCAGACTTCGTGCATGTCCAAGTCCCCAGAGACTGACAGGAGTGGCTGCAGGTCACCTCAATGACCTCTAGTCTTTCCATTCTCCTCTCCTGTCCACTCTGCTCCAGCCACACTGCCCTCCTCCCCCCATATTCCTCAGGCATGACAAGCTTTATTCTTTCTGCCAGGAATGCTGAGCTTCCAGAACCTAGCACGGCTGTTTCTTTGATCTTTTCAGGTCTCAACAGAAAGCCACCTTCCCTGTGGGGCTTTCTCTCACCACCCCACCTAAATTGGCACCCTCCATTCCCACCACTAAGAGTGTCCTCCCTTTGTCTACTCATTTCCCCAGGGATGCACATTTAGGAGCTTTCTATTTTTTTTTCTTTTATAACAAGTTTGCAATGAACCTCCTTAGATTTGTGTGTCTGTGTGTGTGAGCTTCTCTGAGACATGTAGAGGTGAATTGCTGCATCCTAGAATACATGCATTTTCAATTTTACTAAATATTGTCAAATTCCTCTCCAAAGTGCCTTTACCTGGCAGCTTCTGAGTGTTCTTATTTCTCCCCGTGTTCACTGCACTGTATATTGTCTGACTTGAAAATTCTGCAGCTTTGGTAGGTGACAAGGGGGCATCTTTCTGTTGTTTTATTAATGGCATTTCTCTAGTTACCCAAGAGGCTAGGCACTTGGCTTTCTTTTTTCACTGACCACATGCCTTGACCACTCTTTCAGCTTTTTGGTGTTTTTTGGAGTGTTTATCATCATCTAATTGATCTCTAGGATCTTTTATCAACATTCTGAACACTAATCTTTTATATTCTACAAATGTTGCAAATATCTACCCCTGACTGCTGCTTGTCTTTTAACATTGCCCACAATGTCTTTTATCATCTCCAGTTTTAAACCTATTGTCAAGTATATGTGGATCACTTTTGTTACGGTTTATACTCACTGTGCGTATATAATAACTGTTAGCCTCCTCGAGGTCAGCAAATTATTTCTCTAGATGTTCTTCTGATCATTTTAAAGTTTTACTTCCCACATTTACAATGTATTTCAGGTGTGGCCTACATCACTTCTATAATTAGAACACTTAATAACAATAAAACCTGGAGGTGCAGCTCTTATAAGAGACTGTTTGCCAAGTCCCTCTCCTCTGCTGGCCCCCTCCCTCCATGGGGACTCACCCAGCATGTGTCCCAGGAGCTCCCCTCCCTTATCAGAGAATTGGTTGTGACTGAGATCCATTTCCTTAATTCGGTAATTGACCTAGAGATAAAAAACAGTGGAGAAAGAGGCCTGTGTGTCTTCTATGGGACTGCAAACACCTCCTGTATCTTGGGTCATTGTGATAGAGGCTCACGCACACCCAAAATTAGGCGGACAGGGGTCTTACACTGAAGACAATTTCTTGTTCAATTCCTGTTTGACTGTTGATGACACCTGGGAGAGTTTATTGATAACCAAACAGCTCTATCGCTTGCTGTAGCTTTTGCCAGAATCGGCAGAGTCCAAACACTCACCAACTCTCTAAACCATGCAAGCGGCCTCATTTCCCTATACCCAGAGGCACCCTAGGTCCCCCGGATCTCCAGGGACATCTCCAACAGGGCTGGGCTGTACCCACCCCCTGCTTCTTACCGACAGGGCCTGGCACAGCAGCTCTGCAGATTTATCCTTAAAGTTATTTCCTGCAATGAAGGGGGGCGTTAGCAGTGCCCTCCAGGCTAGCGCTCCTGTACCCTCCCATAGCCTCACTCTGCCAGGCCCTTCCCTTGGAACAGTTAGATGTAGAATAGGTGGCAAGCACTTAAAGCAAAAATACGGACACAGAAGAAAACAGGAGAAAAAAGAGCAACTATTTACCGTCCCCTTTAAGGTTTCCTTCCTGCTCCGCCGTGACTGTCCGGGGAGCTCCGGGAGCTAGTACACTATATATACCCTGTGCATTACCGGCAGCATCAGCCCCTAGCCGAGGGCCTGCAGTCTGCAGCATTGTAAGAAATGCTGATGTAGTGTAAGCAGCGGAGACAGGCCAGGAGGGGGCAAGCGAGGCCCTTGCCTTTGCCTGCAAAATCTAGGGGGTGCTGAAAAGCTCAGTAATCTCAATGAAAAATATCTTAGCATTAAAAAAAAAATCAAAACCAATGCAAAAGGGCCTATGATGAACAAAATTTAAAAATTTTAAATAAGGGCAGGACCTGACCCTGCACTTTTATAGCTAAGCCTCACTCACCTCACCCCAATCTGTCCCTTTTGGATCATGTTTTTTATTTAAAGTGTTGATATTTTGTTCATCGCAGGTTATTTTTGTATCAATTTTGACTTTAAAAAATATTGCATCAAGATATTATTTACTTAGTTCTGAGCTTTTTGGAGCCCCTTAAATTGTGCGACTGAGGTGAGTGCCTCCCTTATCTTACCCTAGTCCCTGCTCTGCTAAGCAATCTAAAAGATTTCTGGGAAATAAATGACACAGAGGCTCATCCCCAAATTTCTCCTTTGACCCTTTAATAATCTTTGTGTCTCTAGCACCTAAGTAATGCTTGGCACATAACAGGTACTCAATAAATGCTTACTGAATGAATGAATGAATAAATACATCCACCGAAATACAAATACTTCTTTGGCTGTGTCTGGTACTGGGGCAATAAAATGACATAAAGAGCTAGTCAATGTATAAAATTAGGTAATTTTAGAATTTAGCAATTCAAGGAAATGCAGCAGCTATAATTTGTTCAAATACTGTTGCTCACCGGTTCTCTTCTCCTTCTGGAATTCTTATTAGCTATATTGGGCCCATTCATTCTTTTATATCCTCTTATCTTTTATATTCTCTATATTGTTATCTCGTATACTATAATGATAGGTAAAATATCCTTTTACCTCTCTTCCAGGTCACTAATTTTATTCACCTATATCTAATTTGCTGTTGAATTTATCCACTGAGTCTTTAATTTCAATGATTATGTATATTTTATATATATTATTATATTAATATCTATTTCTAGAAATTCTATTTTGGGGGAGATCTTCTAAAAAAATAGTGATTTGTTCTTGCATGTTTTTATTTTTTGTTTTCTTAATCATATTAAACATAGTTTATAGTTGGGTGCAAGATATCTGCTTGCTGTTTCACTTAATGATGCTCCTATGCTGTTTAGAGGATAAGTTATATGGTCACTCAATGTACAGTATATATCTGATAATTATATTTCTGAAGTTACCAGCATAGGATCACTTTGTATGTTAATTTCTTGCCTTGGGGATTCCAGGACCCTGCAGGTGGCATACATTCAAACTACAAACCTGAGGGAGGGCAGGTCTGTGGGTACCAGAATTCTCAATTGACTTTTTGTTTTCTGTGAGATGGACAATAAACTAACTAAAAATAGGTATACAATAGGGGGTCAGGTAGCAATAAATGCCATTAAGGAAACCCAAGCAGGGAAACCGGATAGAGAGTAATGGTAATGGAGAGGGGCTGCTTCCACCAGGCGGTCGGAGTAGTCCCCCAAGGAGATGACATCTGAGCAGAGACGTGAATGAAGCGAGAGAACGAGTCTTGAGAGAGCGAGCCTTGCAGAGATATCTGGGGGCAGAGACTTCAAGGCAGAGGTAGGAATGTTGCAAAGTGAATCATAAGTGGATTGCCCAGGGAAGCCCGGGAGGCAGTGTGGCCGTGGAGGGGGGCAAGGATGACTGGAAGGGCTTAGCAGGGTGTAGACATAGTGTTCTGGTTTCTGGAATCAGAAGGGCCTGGTCTGGCTCAGTTCATCTCGTGTTCTCCCTGCCCTTCCCCCCTTCTCTCCTTTCATTTCCAATGTCCTCTCCCTTCTCTTCCGTGGGCTCACCTGATAGCTGAAGTTTTAAGAGTGAAGAGGAATTTCTGTGGAGAAACTCTGAGATGATTTTTGCCCCCTGGAAGCCAAGAGCATTGTCGGAAATATTCTAGAAGGCAAGATAACAGTTAAGTATGTACAAATCCCAATAAAGGGCCCTCGTTAATAGAAGATGTGAGAGTGGGGCTGACTGGAGGCCTATACTAAGGGCGTAGGTCCCGGTGGGGAGAGGGGTCCTGGGCTGGAAGGAGGGGAAGAATTAGCAGGTTCAAAGGAGAGGATAGGTGCCTGGCTTTTCCAATGCCTCGCTGTGGGGCCCTCCGGCTGGTCTTAGCATCTTCTGAAGTCATCTTCAGTGTCGCCCTATTTCCCCAATTTGGCTCTGATACTGTAGATAAGCACATAACAACTTTTTTGAAACCCAAGTCAGCTATACTGAAGTGTTTGGCATAAAACAATTGAAAAATGAGTTTAGAGCAAGTCATCACTTGTAAATTCCATTCACTGATTCATGAAGCATGAATGGCTGTGCTGGGAAGAGCTAGGGGGATAAATGCACAGTCCTTTCAGGCTAGTGGGAGGGACTTTATATAAATCCACTACTATGATCTTCATTTTTTCATTTTTTTATTGTGGTAAAATAGATATAATACAGTGTTCACCATCATAACCATTTTAAGTGTACAGTTCAGTGGTCTTTAGTATATTCATATTGTTATATGACCACCACTATCATCTATCTCCAGGCACATTGCAGTTTATGAAATTATTTCACATCTTTATTTTTTTAAATTTTACTTTAAGACAACTACATAGAAGTAAGATAATCTATTTAGGGGTTTCAAGGTCCAAACAGAAATGGTTTCTTAGGGTTTCCTACAACCACCAGGAACACAGTCCCCCTGGCCAGCCTCTGATGTGTGGCTCTCCTCTGAGGAGTCACTTGTAGAGGAGAGAGGCCCCCAGACTGGTTGCAGAAAGCCTGGAGCTGGCCTGGGCTCAGGCAGGGACCTCGGGCTTGTCGGCAGTGGGCTCTGAGCCCCCGGGTGTGGTGGTGGGGACCAGCAGGGGAGACACAGTACCATCTCCTGGAGGTAGTAGTTCTCTTGCAGCATCTCCACCAGGCTCTGGATGCCCTCCTCCATGATACTGTTGTCTGCCAGCTCCAGGGTGACCACAGCCGTGTTGGACTTCAGCCACAAGGGGCGGCGAGAGAGACAGAGGTGGTTGGTGACCTAGGCAGTTCCCTGACCTTGCCCAGAACCTTTCCCCATCTCTTGAACGTCCCAGCCATGCCAAAGGGTATGTGAGATACAGACTAGCAATTTTGGAGGAGTAGACAGGAATAGGGGAACAGTGCAGGAGATGAGCCATCCCACTGATGGCTGGGACAATACAGGGGCCGAAGGAGGTTTACAGCTGTGAGTACCCGAAACACAGTTTATTCTTGTATAATTATTTATTAATTATTTTATTGTCTATTTGTATTGCAACTGTAAGCCTACTTTTGTCCACCTCTATATGCTTGTATTTTATATTCACAATGGGCAATATGCTCATTCTGGGCACCTCCACCAAGAGGGACTCTGCACGGGAATTTAGAAGAAGAACATTAAAACAAAGCCCTGAAAAGTAAGAGGTCCAGGATGAGCAGAACATACTTTATTTATTTAGCCTCGAGGAGAGAGGCCTGTGACCTACTCAAGATTAAGGAGAATTCGATACACTTAATAAGAGTATTTAAGCAGAAGGCTTTAAGCATAAAGCATTTGCTGTGCCTGCTTTCCTCAGAAGCCTTTGTTCTAGCTTAAGCTTAAGGCATATCTGGTACCCTCTTCTACTTTTCATTTTATTTTATTTTTTAAAAAAATATATCTTTACTGATTTTAGAGAGAGGAAGGGAGAGGGAAAGAGAGAGAGAGAAACATCAATGGTAAGAGAGTCATTGGTCAGCTGCCTCCTGCACGCCCCCTACTGGGGATGGAGCCCGCAACCCGGGCATATGCCCTGACCGGGAATCGAACCGGGATCTCCTGGATCACAGGTAAAGGGCTCAACCACTGAGCCACGCCAGCCGGGTTCTGGTCCCCTCTTTTAGTTAGGATGTTGCCTTGGTCTATTTGGAAGGAGTTGGACTTAAATCTTAAATAAATATCTATATCCAAGCTAGTCTGCGTTGCCACGGGGAGAAAATGACCGGCGTTGAAGCATGAGGGGCTGGGGCTAGCTCTAACCAGAACTTGTATTCTTCCCTCCCCCACTATGTTCCCAGTGTGGAAAAGCAGACACATCTTTGGCTGTGAGCATTTTCAGAGCCCGCCAAGCAGTGAGAGCGGTGGGCAGTAAGGAGCTCTAGCTCCAGCAAAAGGGAGAAATGCTGGTGCGAGTTGTGCCGTGCGGATGGTCCACCCAGGGCCTTCCTGAAATGTCTTTCGGTCTCAGCGCTCCGGGATGGGCGCAATCCCGTTGTGCTCCAAGTTAAGGGAGACAGCTCAGGTGGCCTCCTAGTTTAGGTGTCACTTAGCAGTGGCTAGAAACAGGTCAAAGGACCACTTCCAGAGTCACTCTGGGGACCGGCGCAGCGTGTGGTCCCCAGAATCCACTGAATCCATCCACATTCATATCACACGGGCGAGTCTGTACTGGTCACCCTCTGTGCTGAGTGTTGGGGAAACAAGGTGAACAGCGAACATCGCTGCTCTCCGGGGCCCACACTGCACCAAGTGCCAGGGCAGGGAGCTAGGCGGTTGAGGAACAGAAGTGAAGAAGCATAAGTATGAGCCCTACTATCAGGACACCTTTATCTGCACCAGGTAAACACAGCATGTGGAAAGTTAAACAGTACAAAAGAGAAATGAGCGATACAGGGAATCAAGGAAGAAAACAGGAATTGCTGTCACTATGAAACACGTGCTCCAAGTCCCAAGGGGCTGTCATTATTACCCTTTCCGCCCCCCATGACACTCGGGAGGTAATGGTGCACCCCGAACACTCCATTAATCAGTCTCAGTGCTCAATAAATCTCAAGATGGCTTTGTTCTTTCTCTGCTCTTCCCTTCCTTCCCTCCCCCTCCCCAGAAAGTAGCACAATCTCACATTTTATGTAACTTCTTAATGGGCATGAACTAAATGCAAATGCTGTTATATTTCCAAAAATGAGAGTGCTTTTTCTTTTTTTAATTGAACTTTCCCTTTGCTGTTCTAAGTGGACAAACAATGTATTGCTCACAGTTGTTAAATTTTCTGTTTTCCTGGGATGGGAATCAGTTCTGTATCTAATCAATTAGAATTATATAAAGCTATGAGGAACTCAAGGTCAAGTTCTTGTTCGCTCATGCCGAGCCGAGAGAGAACATTATTCCTATGGGAAAACACGATCCACTCTACCGTGTGATCCTTAAGAACCACAGCGCTGCAAAAGGCAGACAGGGAATGGCTGGCTCAGTAGTGAACCCATTTATAGCAAAGGTGAGCTTTGGAATTGAGACCCAGGATGACATTTTGTATTGTGCTCTCGAGTTAGCACCCAGCTCAGCCACTTTTCCAGGGCCTGTGGGCTGGTGCCTTTGCTTCCTGAGGAGGAAAGAACATAAACTTCCAAGGCTCAGGTCTCTAGCAGCCTCCTTCCCAGGACCTAATGGGGAGTCCATGCCTGTTGGGGAAACTGGCATTCAAGCAGAGCCTGTGGCAGGGTGTGCATAAAGGATGCAATGTAGGGTCCCTTGGGGGTCTCTCTGACTCTTGGGCCCACCACCCTGTCAACCCCCCACCTCTGCCAGGCTTCATGTGCCTCCACTTGCATGCTCACCACCAGGGCGATAGCAATGGCCTTGGTACCCTTGGGGCCCAGCCCGTGGTGGCTGAGGTTCAGGTAGGACTCCTCCATGTTCCGGAGGAAGTAGGAGACTGGCACTACGCCCACCAGTTTGCAGGCCTCCATGTACAGCTCCCTTTGTCCGGTGGTGAAAAATTTCTCAGTATCTGCAGAAAAAGGTGCAAATGGATGAAGTGGGGGTTCTCTTCTGCCTTTGCCTTATCTCTCCTCTAACCCCAGGCCATAATCACTTCTGAGGATCTGCCCCTATGGGTGTAAGCTTCAGAGGGCAACTCCGATTGGGAAGTCAGTCACCGGTGTGGAGGGAGACTCTAAGTCCAGAAAGCCTCATGTGGGTGTCTCCCTTTGGGGAAGACATAAGGCCCCTGGATTTAGGCCCCAAGCTTTCCTAAGAGAAGGAGCCCCACCCCCAAGCGTCCTGGGTTGGCCGCATCAGTGACTGATCACCAAGGGTGCGTGAAGGCCTAGGCCTCCTGCTCACCTTGGAACAGCTCTGAAAAGCCAAGCAGAAAAAGGCTGGTGATCTGTGGTGGCTGTGAAGGGAGTCTCCATTTCAGTTTTAGTTTTGCTACCGCTGTTAAAATGTGAGCCATAACTAAAGTATTACTGAAGATTTAGAGAAGGACCAGCTTAAAAAGCCCAAGTAGGGCAGCATGGGCTTCCCAAGGTGGCAAATCCGGGCAAGATGGAGACACCCCCAAATCAGCCAGAAACAAAAGAACTTGCATGGGAGTGGGCTTTCCTCTTTTGCAGACTTGCATGTCATTTTTCCTCCAAAAAGGACTGTCACCCCTGCTTTACCAAGGACAAAGCTAGCCCCAAATTACACACAGCTGATCAGTGCTAAAGCCAGCTGACAGAATTAGGCCTTCATGTCTCCATTCCAACCTCTTGGAGCCTTTGTTCTGTAGGCTTTAGACCAGCCTGGCTCGTGGGCAGTGGGCAGTGGGCCTGCCTGGATTCCGGATGCCCCCACAGCTGTGTCCTCGTTAGGCAGAGCCTGCTGATGGCAAGACTTCCTGGGGCCAGCTGGGGTCTAAGCCTGCATCTGTGTTTCCTCGGATCCCGGGGCCTTTGGCCAACCCACCACAACCATTTCTAAGGCGGACAATGAGAGCTTTGTTGGCAACAGGACAACGGCTTGACAAGGAAGTTGATTCTACAGGGGCAGCTACACACTGGCCTTATCTCTGCGATGGTTGTAGAGCTGGGTTTCTCAACCTCGGCACTGCTGATTGACACTTGGTGTTGGGTGAGTCTCTGCTGTGAGGGGCTGTTGTGTGCAGCGTAGGAGATTTGCAGAATTTCTGGCCCCTGCCCATGAGATGCCAGTAGCATCCCCCACCCCAGTTTGCCAAATGCCCCCTGGGGTGCAAAATCGCCTCTCTCCCTCTTTTGTAGCCTCACACCACCTTGCTATTCCCACCCAGGCTCATGTCTGAGGCTGTCCCTGGAAGCCATTCCCGCCCCAGTCCCAGCATCTCAGCACCAGCTGCAGGGGCACTAGGAGTGGAGCCGCTGAGCCCTGAGTTTCTGTCTCAGCACAGAGTTGGCACCAAATTTAATCATTAGAGGTTCTCATTTGCCAAAGCATCATAGGTAACCCCCAGCTTTGTCCTTGGCACTAACCCTGCTCTCTTTGATTCTGCTGAGCCCTTCTAGCTGTATGCACTGTGGTTGTATTTTAGAGGCAGCTTGTAACACTGTTACCAGTTGTGGGGTGGGGGTGGGGGGGTGAGGAGGGGAATGAGAAGCTGGAGCCCTGCTTCTTCCAACCAGGTAAAATTCAGTGTTGAAAGCAACAGATTTGAAGTGAAAAAGAAGCCCGACAAAGAGCAACAAGATGCCCAGGGGTTGGCAGGGAGGAGGTCTGTGTGCAGGGTGAGTTGTATGTTGACCGGGGTGGGGGTTATGAACTGTGTGGAGAACTTGATGGCTGAATTTGGCAGAACAGCCTCCCCTGCATCTCTGCTGCCTCTGATCCCTGCCCACCACCCAGCCGTCAGAACACAGGAGAGGGAGTCACTGGGCTCGCCTCCGCCTGGGAAGTTTGAGGCTGGCCCCTCAGGTAGGGCCAGCGCTAGCCTCGCCTTGCTTCACAAGCGTTCTCTGCAGCACTTACTGCTGTGGAGGGGAGGGAGGACGTGCTGTCTGCTGCAACAGAGTCTTTGCTGCAGCTCACAGCCCCCCTCCTTCA